CCAGCTACTATCACTGACCCACATCTAGGCTTGGGGTGCATGAGAAATAAGGAAGTGATAGTTTAGAGACTCAGCAGAAAGGGGGGTTGGCCGGGTAACTGATGACCCCAGTGTCAAGGCACTAGGTTAAACATTGTGAATTATTTACACCTAGCCTACAGTAGCCAAGTCTAGGTCAGCAAGACTAGAAAATAGGGACACAGGAGAGACAGTTTCCAGTAGCCAGAGACCTGTTAGGACAAATACATTTGACTCTGTCCTAAATGTCTCAGATTACCTGGTAGACCTTGGAAAACTGCACTGATGACTGCCTGGGGTCTGCTGTGGATGGTAAGTGATGAGAGACCCCTGGAGAAAAGTGGGCTTTGATTTCTTCTCTTTACACAAACCTATATAGGCTTGAGGAGTTGGAAACTTTCATGGTCTTTCCTGCTATCCCAGTCTCTTGCCAACTGCCTTCTGGGACTTCACCATTCATGGCATTAAATATATATACATATACATATACATATATATATATATGTATATATATATATGTATATATATATATATGTGTATATATATATATATATATATATAAAAATTTTTTTACTAAAAACTACTTTTAAACTGAGTAACATGATATAATGGAAAGTATACTTGCTCCAAGGTCAGTGGACTTGGGTTCAAATGCTGCTTTTATTCCCTGTGTGACCCTGGACAAACTGCTTAACCATTCTGGGCCTTAGAGTCGTTTTCTATAAAGTGAATTTTACATTTTTATAAACAATTTTTACATTTTATGAATAAAATTTCACATTTTAGATTTTTTACGAAAAACTCTCTTACGGCTCTAAATCTATCATTCATGAGAAGGCAGGGGCAAAGAAGATCAGAGGAAGAAAGGACCTTAGAGCGTATTGATTCTAAGCCTGTTTTTTTTTCAGGCAATTGGGGTTAAGTGACTTGCCCAGGGTCACACAGCTAGTAAGTGTGAAATGTTTGGTCTGAGGCCGGATTTGAACTCAGGTCCTCCTGACTTCAGGGCCGGTGCTCTATCCACTGTGCCACCTAGCTGCCCCCTCCAGGCCTGTTATTTTACAGATGGAGAAAATGGGTCCCAGAGAAGTCAGGTTGGGGAGGGCGCGAGGATTAGAACAGAGGCCCTTGGAGTCTAGACCCATCACGGTCTATGATACCACATTGCTGCTCCCGTCTTAGTCCTGCTGTCCCATTCAGGACTTCTGTTCTGTGTCAGATAAAAGGGTGGGAAGAAGTCATTAAGATTCCCATAGCTCATTTTGTAAATTCAAAGGAAAGTAATGATAATTGGCATTTCCACAGAGATGTAGGGCTTTCAAAAAGCTTTGAGCCAGGGTACCTTGGGGGCTCAGTGGATAGAGCACAGTCTTAGAGTCATGAGGACCTCAGTTCGAATGTGGCCTCAGACAGGTTCTAGTTGTGTGTCCCTGAGCAAGTCACTTAACCCCAACTACCTCAAAAAACAAACAAACAACCCAACAATGTATGCCCTCATCTCATTTGATTTTCATAGCAGCCTCAAGAAGTGGGCACCAGAATTAACCTTACCCTTAATTTACGGAAGAAGAAAGTGAGATTCAGAGAAATTAAAGATTAACTTTGGGCCACGCAGCATTGGAATTTGGGGATCTCCTGTTTCACTGGCCAGATGTCTCACTACCTCTATGAAACAGTAATTATGTGGTCAGGCTCACATGGCCTATGTGTCAGAGGGATCTTGAGCGGTGAAGATGTGTGTGGTTGGAGGATCATGATAGGCCCCCACCGGTGGGTTCTGAGTAGAGAAGTAGATTGTGCAATCTCAAGGAAAGGAAAAAGTGGATCTGCCAACTTGTGGGCCATAACCTGCCTTAGAAAGAAGGAGCCAGAGACAGTGAGTGAGTCATCTCAGGTGGAGAGGATATTACTTGCGGTGAGTCACCAGATTCAGATCTTAATCCTAGGACTATGGTTCCTAGGTGTGGATGGAAGCTAGTGGTGGTGGGGGGGTGGTTTCTAGGGCAGCTGTGTTAAGTCCTAGCCCACACATTACTGCCATTTGCTCTGTCCCTTCTGTTCTTCTCAATCTACCCCGGGCACACTAATGGTGTAGCACTGGGTTAGAACTAAGATCACATGGGGCAGCTGGGTAGCACATTGGATAGAGCACTAACCCTGGAGTCAGGAGGACCTGGGTTCATATCTGGCCTCAGACCAGACACTTGACACTTACTAGCTGTGTGGCTTTGGGCAAGTCGCTTAGCACCAATTGCCTAACCAAAAGAAAAAAAGAACTGAGACCACAAGGCTAATTATTCCCTGACGTTTGTGTACATAGTGAAGAAGGCTCCAGAGTCAGAGAACATAGGTTCAAATGTCAGCTCTTCCATTTACCAGCTTTGTGACTTAATAGTTACAAGTGACTTAACCTCTCAGGCCCTCAGTTTCCCCATCTGTCAAATGAAGGAGGTTGGATTAGATGACCTCTGAGGTGCTTTCCAACTCTAGAGCTAGGATTCTATAAGGTACTTTACCTCTTTGGGCCTCAGTTTCTCTATCTGTAAAATGAAGGGGTTGTACTGCATGAGTCTCTTTCAGCTGTAGATCTGGGACCCTCAAATCAACCTAGGGAGGTTGGTGCTATCATTATTACAGAGCTTATCTGCAATGTTATTGATATAGGGAGCTCCCAGTGAATAAGTTCCTTACACCAATGGACATTGGCAACCACTCTGCAGTTGACAGTCTTAGAGCAGGCTTTCCTAATCCCAGGGTCCATAAGCTCATTTCCAGAAATGTTTGGATAATTCCAGCATAATTGGTTTCCTTTGTTAACCTGTGTATTTTATTTTCTACACTTAAAAACATGATTTTGGGAAAGGGGCTGTAAGCTTCACCCGTTTGCCAAAGGGGTTGAGGGGTCCAAGACATAAAAAAGGTTAAAAACCTCTGTCCTAGAGAGTTACTTACGTCAGTGTCACAGGTGACACTTGGGCCTGGCCTGTCTGCGACCCTCTCTATCCACTGCCCCATCCTGCCTCTCAGTGTCTCGCATGTAATAAGTATTTCATAGGTGTTGGTAAAATGCAATTTTACAAATGAGAAAACAGATTAAGAGATGCTGTGGTCACGGCTTCACAGCAAAGTGGGATTTGAACTCAGGTCACCCAAAAATAAAGTCTAGGACCCTTTTCGCTCCACTTCTTTGTGCAGTCTTCTTTTTGTGTCCCTGCTGCTGATCACATCTGCTTGTGGATTATTTTGTAACTTTTGATGAGTCCCTTTAACTGCCTTAGCCTTGGTTTTCTCCTCTGTAAACTGGGGACAGCACTCTTATATATACCTACCTAGTTATATTATAACTACCTACAGTGTCAGCCAGTTTGTCTGGAAAGAAGAGTGTATGAAGAGGAATAAGGAATATAAGTCTGGAAAAGTCCATTAAAACCCAATTATGGAGGGCTTTTAATGCCCCCAAAAGAAGTTTATAGTTGATCCTAAAGGTTAGTAAGTCAATTAATTAACATTTATTAAATGCTTATTCTGTGTCAGGCACTGTGCTTAGCACTGGGGATATCAAAAAAGGTAAAAGACGGTCCCTGCCCTCAAGACGCTTGAAGTCTAATGGAGGAGACAACGTGGGAACTATGTTCAAATAAGACATATACAGGATAAATTGGAAAAAAAAATAAACAGAGGAAAGGTGCAGGAATTAATGGAGGGTCAGGAAAGGCTTCCTGAATGTGGTAGAAGCAATGAAGGGTCTTTGAAGTTCATCTCTAAAGTCTCTTCCAACTCTGAGTTGTTGAATCTAGTGCATGACTATACTCCTTAAGTTGTAATAATGATAGTTAATATCTAACTGGCATGCTAAGGTTTGCAAAGCACTTTATAAATATTGTCTCATTTTAACCTTGCACCAGACCTGGGAGGTAGGTGCTAGTATTATCTCTATTTTACAGAGAAAGAAACTGAGGCAGAGGTTAAGTGATTTGCCCAGGGTCACACAGCTAGTAAGTCTCCAAGATGTGATTTGAACTCAGGTTTTCCTGACTCCAGGTCCAATTCTTTCACCACTGCACCACTTAGCTGGCTGTTCACAAGCTTCAATCAATTCATTCTTTGTTATTTTTGTCCCCAGCTGCTAGCAAAGTGCCTTACACATAGTAGGTGCTTAATAAATATTTTTTGATTAATGGACTAACTCAGTCAATAAGCATTTATTAAGCACCCTCTGTGTACCAGGCACTCAGATGGGGGAGAGAGGGTATCTAAAACCAAAATGAAACAGTCCCTGATGTCAAGAAATTCATGTGGTAGGAGTGGGTGGGTGGGCGGGCATGTGTCTATGTGGTGTGGGGGAGGGGGAACATGTACATATATGTATATGTATGTATAGATATATACATATGTGTATACATATGATACTTATATGTATATATACATGTGGATATATTGTGTGGGTATTTATATATGTATATATATGTGTGTGTGTGTGTGTGTGTGTGTGTGTATTACAAGTTTTCATGAGGGAAACACTGGCAGCAGGAGGATGAGGGATGTTATTATGTAACTACAAAAATAATAATGACAATAACAGCAATAACATTAATAGCTAAAGTGTATACGAGCCCCTTGCAGTGTGCATGTGTTATGTCATTTGATTCTCACAACAACCTTGGGTTGCTTTTGTTATCCCAGATTTCTCAGATGGGGAAACTGAGGCATACAGTGGTTAAAGTGACTTGACCAGGGTCACATAGCTAGTAAGCGTCTGAGGCTGGACTTGAACTCAGGTCTTCCTGATTCCAGGTCCAATGCTCCTCCTAAGCTTAAGATTTGCAATTAAAAAAAAAATTTCAGCACCCCATCCTCCATTGGTCTTCCCAGGGGAGGTGCTAGCAACGGTTGCCTTTGAAGTTCTCTTGATTAGAGCTGGAGAATGGGCTACACATGCCAGGTGGCCACCCGTGACCTCTGCCTGCTTGCTCTCCCTCCAGGTATGGAGAGTGCAATCACGCTGTGGCAGTTCCTGTTACAGTTGCTGCTGGACCAGAAGCATGAGCACTTAATCTGTTGGACCTCCAATGATGGTGAATTCAAGCTTCTCAAGGCAGAAGAGGTGGCCAAACTGTGGGGACTGCGCAAGAACAAGACGAATATGAATTACGACAAGCTGAGCCGCGCCCTGCGGTACTACTATGACAAGGTAAGCCCTTGGCTTGCATAGAGACCAGCCGGGGCAGAGGGAGGAAATGGCTACTTACTCAGGGGGTTGAACAAGGCAAAAATGCTCTGAGCTCGGGCGGTAAAATACCGCTGAGTCTGTTCTTCAAGAAGTAGCCCGTCAGGGGCAGCTAGGTGGTGCAGTGGATAGAGCACCGGCCCTGGAGTCAGGAGGACCTGAGTTCAAATCCTGCCTCAGACACTTGAGACTTCCTAGCTGTGTGACCTTGGGCAAGTCACTTAACCCCATTGCCTAGCCAAAAAAACCCAAAAAAACAAACACAAAGAAGTAGCCTGTCAAAGAGGATTAAAGGGAGTTGGCAAGACAAGGGTTCTAGTCCTGCCTCTGACACACTAGTGGTGTTCCCCAGAACAAGCCATTTAACCTCTCAGTGCTCCTGGCAGTTCTGGAATACATTAATTACCAAGGAGTTGCTGGTTTCCTTGTCTGTATTGATAGAGGGAGTTTCTAATCAATTCACCAATTATTAAGCATTTAGCAAGCACCTACTATGTGCCAGGCACTCTATTATGAAGACAAAAATGCCCTCTAGGGACCTCTATGCTATAGGAGGAGACAGCATGTATATGTATGATTATTACAAGATCAGCCAGTCAGTGAGTATTCATTAGGTGCCTAATATGTGCCAGTCATTGTGCTAAGCGCTGGAGAAATATACACGAAAGCGATGAAATGCACACAAACACACCAAAATCGCTGTGGGGTAGAGGGAGACATTGACAGGGCCCATCTGGAAGGGCCTCTTGGAATTAAGACTTGGACTGACTTTGGAGGGGAACTGGATTTTGAGAGGTGGAATGAGGATGGAATGCATTCCGCATATGGGCCACAGCCTGGCTAAAGATGTGGAAAGGGAACGGAGTGTCTGAGTGGACCAGTGAGGTAAGGGGATTCGTGTTTACTACCTCTGGAATGGTAGCCTGGAACCAGATCACCCAGGGCTTTAAATGCCAAGCAGAAGGGTTTGCATTGGATTCTAGAGGCAAGAGGGAGCAGGGGACTGAAATAGAGCTATACTTTAGAAAAATAATAATGATAATAACACATTTACATAGCATGCTAAGGTTTGCAAAGTTCTTTACAAATATTATCACGTTTTATTCTCCCTACAACAATAGGAGGTATGTGTTATTATTATCTTCATTTTTCATATGGGTAAACTGAGGCAGCCAGATGTTAAGTGACTTTCCGAGAATCACAGAGTTGATAAATGTGAAATTTGGTGGAATTTGAACTCGGTTTTCCAGACTGCAGGCCCAGAGCTCTATGCACAGTGCCACCTAGTGGCCTCATACCATGAAAACAATGTTGTCAGTACTGTGGAAAGTGTTTTTTGAGCTTAGACGAGATACTGTATTTAGGGCTTTACAAACCTGAAAACAACAGATAAATAAACATCCATTAATTATTTGCTGTTCAGTTGTTTCAGTCTTACTCTTCGTGACCCTGTTTGGGGTTTTCTTGTCAAAGATACTGGAGTGGTTTGCCATTCCCTTCCCCAGCTCATTTTACAAATGAGGAAACTGAGGCAAACAGGGTGAAATGAGTTGCCCAGGGTCACAAAGCAAGGCAGTATCTGAGGCTGACTTTGAACTCGGATCCTTCTGACTCCAGCCCTGGAGCTCTCTCCACAGAGCCACCTAGCTGCCTCCAGTTAATTTTTCCCAGTGCTTCTCTCTGATGGAGACTGATCAAATGAGGTGATATTCATAAAGCAGTTAGCACAGTGCATGGCACATAGCGGGAGCTATAAAAATGCTTATTCACTTCCCAATTGCATTTTTGAAGTTTCATGCTCAAAGACTGACATCGGTAATCGTCGTAAGCTGCTGTGTCTGGACTGATTTTGAAAGGGCATTAAAGTAATTGTTTTAATTATTAGCTCCTCATTTATATTTCGTGAATTCAGCCAGTCCATCACATCTTTCAAAGTCATTTCATCAGGCAGAGACTTTTCCCGCACTGGGAAGTCATTCATTCAGTTAATATTAGTTTCTCAATGAAATGGTTTCAAAGCTCCATAGGTATTCGTTGAAATTCCCTAGTTCTTTAACAGTGGCCAAAGGAGAGAGATCTTGTTTTTACCTTCCTAACATCTCTCCTTTTTGCTCCCATCTCTCCTCTGTCACTGCCATCCTTCTGGTGCACAACCTCATCTCTTCATAACTATGGCAATAGCTGCTTGGGGCTGCCTGACTCAGATGGGTCCCTCCTCCAATTCATCCTCTGTTTAGCCACCAGTGATCTTCCCAAAGCACAGATCTTACCATATCCCCCTCTATTCGATAAATTCCAGTGGTTTTCTGTTACCTTCAGGATTCAATGTAAACTTCTCTGCTTGGCTTTCAAAGCCCTTTGTAACATGGCCCCTTTCTAGCTTTCTAGTCTTCTTACACCTTGTTTGCTGCCACCCACTGAGATCCAGTGATCCTGCTGGCTTTCCTGTGTTTTTCACAGTGGGCTTCATCTAATGGCTCCATGCTCGGAGTACTCCCCTCCCCATCTCCTCCTCCTGGCCTCCCTGACTTCCTTCAAGTCTCAGTGAAAATCCCACCTCCTACCAGAAGCTTTACCTTGACCCCATTAATGTTAGCACCTTCCTCTGTTGATCATCTGCAGTTTATCCTGTCTGTTTCTTGTTTGTAGGTGACCATTAGATGGTGAGCTCCTTGGCATAGGCACTATTTTTTATCTTCCTTTGTATTCTCAGCACTTAGCATGGTGCCTGGCACATAGCGAGCGTTTAAGAAATGCTTACTGACAGACATATTCTAAAGACACTTCTTGCTGATTACAGCACCTGTAAATTTTGTGGAATCTTGGTTGTTTAGATATCGTTTTGCAATATTCCCTGGGCTTTGCAAGACTGTGAGGATTGACATTGGATCTGTTCTGCTTGGCCTCTGTCTAAAGCATAATGTTGTAAAAGTTGTACAAAGACAGATTTCGACTCAATGTCAAGAAAAACTTTCTAATGGGGAGGCTGGCCAGAGGTAGAAGGGGCTGCCTTGGGAGGTCACAAGTCCTTCCTCACTGGAGGTCCTTAAACAAAGGCTGGATTACTTATTCGGCACGTTGCAGAGAGGAGTTCTTGTTCAGGGATCAGTTGTAGCTATCTGGGCCCTGAGCCGTCTTCTAGCTTTGAGATTCTATGATTTTGTTATTGGCGCTTCCACTGTGAAATGGGGATGTTGCCAGACGGTGTGGGACTTTGCAAAAGGCTGTTTGCTGATCTGAAAATAACAACCTGGTTTTCGACTGAGGCATCAAGTGATGTTTCTGTTTGGGTTGAGGTCTTAAGGGTGCCTTCCTGACATGCCTCCGTTTCTCCTGTGCTTTCTGGAAGTTTTGGCTTCTTCATCAGTGTGGAGGAGGGGACTTGGGACTTTTTGTATGATTCTCAGAGTGTCTAGCTGTCAAGGATGGAAAATACAGAAGGAATCTGGAAAGGCTTTTATGAAATAATGCAAATGGAATCAGTCTATCCACAAGCATTTTTAAAATGTCTATTTTGTGCCACCACTGGGAATACTAAGGCAAAAATGAAACAGTCTCTATAGGTAAGAAGCTTACACTGTAACAGGGGAGACAATATGTACATATATGAGAATAGAAAGAATCAATAGACCAAATAAATAGAAGGTAGTGAGAGAAGGAGGGGGTGGTGGTTGGAAATCAGGAAAGGCGTTCTGTATAAAAGGTGGCACTAGAGTTGCTTCTTTAACGAAGAGAGAGATTTTTTGAGGTAGAGATGAAGTGAGAATGTGTTCCAAACATGCAGGAAGGCCTATGCATAGGCTGAGGGATGGGAGATTTAGTGCTGTGTGTGTGAGGAACAGAGCTACAGTACCAATTTCCTTCCTTCCCCTCCCTCCCTCCTTCCTTCCTTCTTTCTCTCCCTCCTTCCTTCCATTCTTTCCTCCCTTCCCCTTCCCTCTCTTTTTCCTCCCCTCCCTTTTTCCTTCCCTCCCTTTTTCTTTTCCTGCTTTCCTCCTTCCCTCCTTCTTTCCTTCCCTCTTTTACTCTTTCCCTCCCTCCCTCTTTCCTTTCCTTCCTTCCTCTCTCCCTCCCTCCCTTCTTCTCTCCTTCCATATACCTCCTTCTATCCTTCCTATCCTCCTCCTTTCCTTCCTTCCTTCCTGCCCCTCCTTTCTTTCCTTCCTTTTTTCCTTCCTTCTTCTCTCCTTCCTTCCCTTCTTCTACAATTCCCTCCCTCCCTCCCTCCTTCCTTCCCTCCCTCTCTCACTTCCATTCTTTTCATATCAAAGTCATTTCCATATAGATCCTTTACCCCTGACAATTAAGTAGTTAAGAAAAACCACAGTGACTTTGTCTAACAGTGTATGCACCATTCTGTACCTCTAGTTTCCACCTGTCTAATAAAAGGCAGGAAATGGGTTTCCTCACATCTGGGACTGCAGGTCTTCCTTTTCTGCAGTGACAGGTGACAAGCTACAGCTGAGAGGTTTTGCTGCTTTATCCCCATCAGGAGTTAAATGTGAAATAGACGCCCTTTCTTGCTATGTTCCCAACAAAAACATCACTCATTTCCACCAAGCAAAGGCCTCACGAAACAACTCTTTAGTTAATTAGTGAGGTATGAGGAAGAACAGTCAAGGTAAAGTCACTGCCTGAGCATTTTCCTGGAAAGTAGAAAGCTTCCCTTCCTCACTTAATTGGATACTTCATTTCAAATTAAGTGGGCAGTTGTGACAGAAGAACGTTAGTATTAATAATACATCCCTTTGATGGAGTGCTGGTGTCATGAAGCCTGGCCTGGGTGTAATTATTTCACTCTGAAAAATAAATTTTTAACCAACAACGTAATTTATTGTGATAGCAGGGAAGGGAGGAAGACAGAGGCACGCTCGTGATCAGGGAATAATACTATTTGCATAAAATTCTGTGGCAGAGAGTGGCCTGGGCCTCGTCCAAGGGGCTGAAATAACTAAGTACTCCTT